GCACTCAGCCATCTTGAAGACGGCATAACTATCCCCTACCGCTTGGATAGATGTTCATTCAGTTGAACAACCCAGAAAAACTGGTGCGAGTTCAAAGTCTGCATGCTGCTGGCCGGGTACAGTCTCGCTGTATTTTGACAGTTTGTAACGGAATTCCAGAGTCTGACTACAGCCACTGGTTAAATGTTATTTCATCTCAGCTTAAATTTTGGTCTTTTCAAACTTCAACCTGCATTAGAAGGTAAATCCAAGGTCTGAGGTATTCATTTAAAAATTTTCAAGATATCATGCTTGCAGACTTCTGCCATTTTGGCAGCACATTTTTAGTAAACCTGACAGTTGGTTGTGGAATAAACGCATTCACTGCAAGGACTAATACAACGTTCGATCGCCTTGATGAAGGCACAGATACCGATAGTGTCATGCTTCGGGCCGTTGTACGCTTCTCATTAATATAAGGCAGCTTAACCCGGACAGTATGCAGATGACAATTTGGTTTTTGCTCCATAGACTTTGTAGCGGGCACTCACTAGATCACGAACACTCAAATCACGCAACAATCCTTGTCCCACTTGCAATCTTAGTCGATAACATGTACATTACAATTATTAAATCAGACGCTCTGTAGGCAATTGGTGCACCTCACCTTCGACACAGTCAGCAGAGAAGCAGGGTGGATTGTTCAAATAAATCTTGACTGTCCGGCTAAATGTGTTGAGCTCATCAGGGACATTCATGACCGAATGAAATATTACGTGCGAAGCCGCGTAATTATCTCGACCGAATTCGATTTCGATGCCTGTTTAAGGCATGTTCACCTTTATCCTTACGACCGCCTGCTCAAAAGCACTCAGCCATCTTGAAGACGGCATAACTATCCCCTACCGCTTGGATAGATGTTCATTCAGTTGAACAACCCAGAAAAACTGGTGCGAGTTCAAAGTCTGCATGCTGCTGGCCGGGTACAGTCTCGCTGTATTTTGACAGTTTGTAACGGAATTCCAGAGTCTGACTACAGCCACTGGTTAAATGTTATTTCATCTCAGCTTAAATTTTGGTCTTTTCAAACTTCAACCTGCATTAGAAGGTAAATCCAAGGTCTGAGGTATTCATTTAAAAATTTTCAAGATATCATGCTTGCAGACTTCTGCCATTTTGGCAGCACATTTTTAGTAAACCTGACAGTTGGTTGTGGAATAAACGCATTCACTGCAAGGACTAATACAACGTTCGATCGCCTTGATGAAGGCACAGATACCGATAGTGTCATGCTTCGGGCCGTTGTACGCTTCTCATTAATATAAGGCAGCTTAACCCGGACAGTATGCAGATGACAATTTGGTTTTTGCTCCATAGACTTTGTAGCGGGCACTCACTAGATCACGAACACTCAAATCACGCAACAATCCTTGTCCCACTTGCAATCTTAGTCGATAACATGTACATTACAATTTCCCACTCATTCTTCTTCATGCGGCTGCCACCTGTATCACGCGCCAGGCCTACGAACTTCAACCACATCAGGTCAAGTTGTATTCATGGTCGTGCAATCATCAAGCACGAATGGACATCCCTGTTCTTCCAAATAACAGGCATGCGACTCGGCCCAAAAATACACACACACACTTTCGCGCAAAGGACAGGAAGTTGACCGAGCTCCGCAATTCTCCACGGTCAACTACGGAATACGGGTAACAGCTACACTGCAGAGAAGACACGTTCCGCGCCCGGACCTTCATTCAGGAGTCCTCAAATGATAAGTCACGTTTTGGCCCATCTCCTTTTTGAGTTGCATTTGTCTTTATCAAGGGCACAAAACACACAGTTGTTAGTCCTTGCCACCTTCTGATAATCAACCTACTTACCTTACAACCAGATCAGTAACAATTCCACTTGCGGTATTTGCACAAATTCCTTCAGATCGAATGAATAGGGTGGATCCCGAACACAAAATTCCTTCGCATGAGAGTTTAATCAATCTGATGCGGAACCAGTTCCACCGGTTTAATTGCTGCAAATGAATGGCTTGAATACACAGCATAAACCAACTTGTCAACCACTGTAACGGTGGACACTACTGATGGGACATGCGAGTAGCATGTTTTCTTGTAAGTCCTCTTCGCGTCTTTTGAAAAGTGAGATCTATTACGGAATTCGTGGAGTCGCATTTGCTTGCGTTTGCGTAACAGTCCATGAATATCCAGGAAAGTTCAGAAAGACGCGTTCAAGGAGAAGATGGATATTCAGGTTTCGTTAACAAGATGCATATGAGAGTTTTGCTTCCCTGTCCAATAGTCTGTAACTGCTCATTTGGTGTTTTCTAATAATTAACTTCGCAGTGAATGCTTTCTTTCTCTCTCCACCACCCGTAGAATGGCGCTGCAACTCAAAGACGTTCGAAATTCTGATATTGGGTCATTTTCAGTAATCTTTAAATAATGACGTCACTTTTGTTCTAGAGCATGGGAAAACGTCGCAGTCGAGAACATTGGAGAACGGTTATCCACACAAACTTGAGAATATCCAAGTTTCCATGTGTCTCAGTGCTGCACAATAAGCGGGCTATTGTACAACGGAGATCCCTTATCATGCCTTGTGGGACACGAAAGTACCGGAAACTACCAGATATAGATAGACAGAACTGAGGCAAGTCAGTGCCTCCCTTACCATAGCATCTTAAGGAAAATATCATGCGCATCACAACACAACACATACTGCCTCATGGCGCACTTGTACACTGTTATAATGGTGAAGGGAAGCTATTATACTTAAACGGCTGGCCTCGGCACCTTCATGATATACAAGACACTGAGACCTGCACCCAGTATTGCGACGATTCGATTCCGTTGGATTTTCAATCGCGTCATGGACTCGTCTGCGGTCTCCGTATCACGGAAAACCAGATCATGCCAGAAAATTTGCCTGGTCAACAGGCCTCATCTAAGTATGGTTATATTTTTCACGCTACTAGCATCCAAATAGTAGTGCGTCGTTCGAACAGATACAGTCAACTGCCAAACCATGTATGGGGGGTGCAGCACATCAACCGAATCTAGAAAACGGTGTTGGCAATGCAAATGAAGCATGTATGTCGAGTCTTGGTTGAAATGTCATCTTCCGCGGTCAAGTCATCAACCGTGTTTCCTTGCTCACCGCTTCTCCTTAAACTTTTAGCCAATCCAGGTTTCCTTGGTAGACCATTTTATCTAGAGGAGCGTGCTTCAACCATGCCTAAACACCATTTCTACGCTTCATCCGCACCAGAATATTCCGAAGTCAGTTGGTGTGATTTTCAGTATCATGCCCCAAAGGTAAAGTGGTCGAAGTTAGATATAAATCTCCCTACTCGACACACAACACGTGATGGAAGTAGGGTACTCTGTGTCTCGCTGCATCAGTTTTTTCATCGGCCTTTAAATGAGTTAAGATCAATCAAAGATCTCACTTAGTAGATGGATCTGAACATTTTAGGTCTTTAAGCGTGCGCTCCAGTCTGCTGAAAATTCAGCACGTTAATCAGGTGGTCAAAGATTTCAATTTCGCACCTGTATTCCATTACAGGCCATAGATGTGTCACTGTTTCACGTGCTCTTCTTGACTTAATGTAGCCAAAAATCCCGTCGCTCTATAGCCCAAGTGTTCTTTAAAGTTCAGGCTCGTATCGACAGTGATGAAAGAAATGGATTCAACGTGCATGGTTTTCTTTTGATTGGACTGACATAATCGAGTTAGATAATTGCGTCAACTTCTAACCCTTACAAATCTCTCTGACGTTGTTAGCACCAAGTCCTCCAACAAAGTAGCTGTAACAAGGAATTTGTACAATTCCTCTCTATCGTTTGCTGGGAAGGGTATTTTGTGTCTACTTACATGCTATACATTGAGGATCAGGCTCGCTTCCTTCGGCCTCGGATGGAAGTCAGATATTTTTAAGGCATTCAGAAATCGAGATATCATCCACTTCAAAATAACTGGGATCCGTGGCAACGAGTCAAAAACCCTCGTATAGCCAATCATACGTTGTTTTACCAGTAAAGGCATAGTTTCGATTTCAGCAACCAGAAATCTGAGAATATCACGGGGACATTTGGAAATTTTCATGGGATTTCACCCTTCAGTTGAATTCAGCCTGTGCCAAATCCAAGATCCATGGTACAGCAACCTCGTTCTGATTAGGATTCATCGGTAATGGGCATCCAACGTATCCTCTGGAAGATTCGGTTCTACACTATGTCGGCAGGTGGCTGGTTATTAAACCGCATGGCAACGATCAGTTGATCAGCAATGAGGTTAAATGGCATCTAGACAGGATAGGATGTTTTTCATAAAGGAAACTACTCACAAGGTTGCTGAAAACTCTTCGACAGCCCACGACCGGTTTCAATCTTCTTGGGGCTCATCAGGTAGGCGCAGTCCCCGAGTTTCCGTCAACCTCATGTTCTACTTGAACCCAAATTGGACTGTTTTTGAGAAATACACTCATTTGCAAATCAAGTTGGTTTTTACGAGAGACTCAAGTGAATCTGTCGTTTATGATTCAGTCAAGTCTCTCGTGGAAAACAAATTGATTTGCAAATGAGTGTATTTCTTGAGGATAGGACGTTGTTTACGTAAAAGGGGAAAACTTTTTTGAAAAGATCTAAAATCTGTTAACAGAACTAATCAAATGATAAGCGAAACTTTCAACTTAAAAGTCGTCCCTGGATAAAGATGAGCGGGGCTAATTTGAAACTAACCGCGCCGCTCATCAGCCGGTCAAGTGTCCAACCACTGGTCAAAAGGTCAGGGGGTCACAACTCTGGGTTTTGTGAGATGCTCGTTGCTGATGATTCCCAGTAAGAATGAAACAGTGCTTCTGGGCTTTTCAGCGTAGATTGGATTCAGTGTCAGGAAGAAATCTTAGTCTAGAATCCTGATTGTTCAACAACCAAATCCACTTCATATGAGTAAGCAACATTTACTGAAGTAAACGATTTAATCTGTTCATAGCCACACCACTCTCATTTGAGCGGCCGCATTCCTGTACGGGTGTTGTTATTCCGGTGAGTCCACACCAAAGGGAAGCACTGGACTAGAGTTTCGCTCTTATTGGATCTCATCGGCGGTGCATATCCAATGGCCGTGCCGGGATTTGAGCCCCGGACATCTGACATGCGAGGCGAGCGTGTAACCACTAATCCACCAACACACATTGGGCGCATCTGAATTATCACATCTGAACAGGCGAACGTGTTCACACTTGAGTGATGTGATTAGTGTGCTCGAACGACGACCCAGTAACTGTCCCGGTTGTGACGATCGATTGACCCGCCAGTCAGGACTTCCCAGTCAGGTAGCGTGGCACACGCTTGAAACCCCACTAGGCAGATTTTCGGTTGCAATTTTGGGGTTTTTGCGGGATAGGTATTTTGTTCATGGACTCACCGGAATAATTACGCCAGAACAGGAACACGGCCGTTCAAACGAGAGTGGTGTGGCTATGAACCTATCCCGCAAAAACCCCAAGATTTAATTTGTCCCATGCGCTGAATTCGTTAGACATCAGGCTACTTTGAACAGCCGAGTGTTCGCTCCTAAGTTTTTGCAGTTAATGCATAGAACCTGACTGAAGCTGACCGTGGACCGGTTTTAGGATGAAAAAATAGCGTCAGACAATCTGGGGGAAATGCTGTTGAGTACCCGATATTATTCTGAGCAAAACGTCCGAGCAAACGTCACAATGGTTGCTTACGAGAAATTCAACAAGATTAGTCTTACGGATTCCTTTACGTCCTGAAACATGCCTCCATGATGTCAAAGTAATAAAGGGTCCCTCTCCGAGGGCCTGGGATCAGAAAAATACGCCCACTGTTGGAGGAGGTTGGGCCTCCTGTTATAAGGCTTGTTGGTACAGGTGATATTCTTAATCTGGATAAGTAAAGTGCTAGTCGTCGGACTTTTGGACACTTCAAAATTAGGCAACCAGCTGATATTACCTGACATGACTCACCTCAACTAATTCATGTGATGTTCTTTTGGAAGAGGAACATTTTTGACGGGCGGTACAGATTCCGTTCTGGAATCATTCGGAAAATGAGGGATAAACACCGCTTCTGACAGTAATTCGTGAGTTCGCTCAAACCCGTTTAAAGTTCAAATATGTTCCTGGGTTGCAGTTGGTGGAACCAATCAAATTATTGCCGGAGAAATCAGGAGTGGAAAAGCAAATCCTATAGGGCAAGCGCAGACGGAAGTCGATTTTCCGCCACCTAGACTCGTGACTTGTGCCCTGTTGATGAAAATGTTCTGGAACAACCTAAACAGATATGATTAGGTTCAAAATTCTGCGAGCATCTGCAACAACGTACCTCGATCGTTACTGTCGAACACGTTTGGATAACCTAAAAACAACAGCCTTGCAACCTTTGTCTATTTTGGGGACAACCGATGGGAACAAATACGCAAAGACAACCAGCGCATGCCTCGAATGTCGATAAGGCTACTGACACTAATATTTAATAACCAAGATACTCTGGATTCCATTCAAGACTACAAAAGAGGAGAATAGAGGGGCATGCTACTAATCAAGTTTCTATCACGGTATCGTTGTTCACCACAAGGACGCTATCACCTGTGGGTGCTTCCAGATTTTTGCAAAAGTTCGACCGAAACATCTGTTCCATCGTATCCACCTATCATCTCGATGTTCAGTACCAATTTTCGGGCTCCAAATGACATAGACGGCTAGGCAGAGTAGTACCATACCCTCCGTACGGAAACTGCCGTTCTAACCCGTATTCCATCAAAGTGACCAGGTCAGTGACTTTGTGGTGCTTCAGCAGAGCGTACGCATGTCTGTTGCGTGGACTGACCGCAGGGAATATGTAAGATGCAATACATGGCTAGAGTGACCAGAACTTGTCACAAGTTATCAGACGCTGCCCAGAAAGTTACGGAGTACTGTTCACTGAATTTGACCGTCTCGCTTCGAGTGATCGATGAAGTTGTCCGCAACTCCTTCAGCTGCTGATCATCATGGCTGTTCACTCAAAATTCACATGAGCAGATCCCTCTGGGTAGGGGGCACATCTGGTTATGTCAGTTTTCATTGTAGGATGCCGACATCCCTGCGGCAGGTGCTCTTGGTGATCCCCACGACCGGCTAGCCGTGGTTAGCTGGCTAAATCGAGTGAGGGTGTGTGAGAGAAGGGTAAACACTTGACTTTTTGTGAATAAATGTCATACGGACTAAGATTCTATGGCATCAAACTAAGCTACTTAAACGGCCCAGTCAACTTATGAAGTAAGACAAGCAATAACAAAATACTGCAATTTAAAACACTGAGTCTTCTTGATGCATCTAGTTGGGACAGTATAAAGTTTGTAAAAGAATACATTGCAAGGGTCATCACTAGCACAAACCGGACGGTCAATCTCCAGTCAAGCTTTTCTGTACATACCACGAACCAGAACCGAGTAACCCATCTACCTTTCTGCTGATCTACACAAACTCGTTTCGCCTAGCATTGACGAGGCGTTAACCATTAGAGCGATAGCCATTATCAAGGTCACTTTGCCGTGCTAACGATCAAGTGAACGTCTTGTTGGTTGTCTGAGATTAATCTGCGTTTGAGTCATCGAAACGTATGCACATTCTGATCCTAACTGACTCCAATCTTGTTTGGGCCCATACTCAGGTATCCTTAGTTACCGGGAGAACGCAGTTGGTAGTGGCAAATTAACGATGCCAGCAACACCGCCCATGAATGAAAGCGTTTTTGTAAATACTGTAGATTCGGCCGATTCAGGAGAATATGGTCCCAAAGAACGGCAGACCAGTGGGGTTCTGGGAATGGCTCCAATAAAATGCGTCTAAATTAAACTACACATAATTTGTCAGTAGTCCGTATTTATTGAGAATTTTTCCGTAAGACGAAGCGCTGGGTATTCCAGAACAAAGAGAGGAAAGTAAATTCGCAATGCATTTGCGTTTGTGCACAACGAAACGGTTCTCTCACAAATTTGGCACCACACAATTCTTGGTGAGTTGCGGGGTTTGCTCAATGAGAAAACGCTCACAGAACTGTGAGCAATCACAGAATTTGATCTCTGCAAATCACCATCTGCATGAGGCTAAAAGTCTGTCATTCTAGTGAGTGGCGTACACTAGCCGAACGACAGCACAATCGGAGTGACGGGCGCGGAAGAACGGTTTATGTATTTACTTATTTACTTATTGGCAAGCATGAGCCAAACGGTTCCAAGCTATTAGACACGAAAGTGAACACCATCTGCACAGAGATCTTGAAAAGTGAACATTCTCAAGCGTTCTCTTGAGCTTTCATGAAGGTTTTCGGAATACTGATTCCATAATTTCTTTAGTAAACCTGACCTTTCCCCATATACTAGGGCGGAGCGTGAACATCGGACCATAGGCTACTTGTATGTCTTATCAGTAGTATAGGCCGTCACAGGTAGTGATATACATCGTGGAGTCTTGTATTCTTCATCACATTGTTTGTCACACGCGGAAAACAATATGCTGATACACAAAACCATATGTTATTCCCCTGTACGTCCTGTCATGCTGTAACAGTCAGGTAAAGTGTTAATCGGCGCCATCAATCCGATCTTTGAACAAAACTGATGGTGTTGTCTTTACAAGGCTGGGGTAAACCGGACAAAAGTCTTCGACTTGACGATGATGCACCGTTTGTTTCAAGCTGGTCCTTCTTCAAAATTTGTCATTCTATAACAACAGCATGCTTATTCTAGAAGAATCAACACACACACCAGAACATGTCAAAATGGAGACCTGAACCGAATACAGTGAAATTCGTCAACATTGTGTTTGTCGTCAAAAATAGCTCTAGTTTGGAGACTGTCAACTCAGTCAAAAATTCTACCTCGCAGGTCAACAACGTCTTGGACTCAGGTTGTCTGTACAGTAGGTTGTCAGTAGCAAAATAGCCACTGTTTTCATCAGGCCGGTGTTTAGACTGGAGGTAACTGTCTGGTAAAGGTGTCATACACACAAGATGACAGTAGTAATACGCTATTCATTCACACACAGAAGAAACTTCTAAGCAGCTTCGCTGAAACAAATGATGAACACCGTTGAGTTGACACTTTAACAGACGCCAGTGATTGCTTTGATTAGTGAGACAAATGATATCTGGATATGGGGGTAGTATCATGCCTAATTTATCACCCTTCAAGGTCTATTTTACATTTGGCAGTCATACAAGGTAGCCTGAATGACCTATTTTGATTTCACTAGGGATTGAAGATATCTTGTAACTTCACTTTTAGAGTTCTCGTTGCTATACAGAACACTGAAACCTCCACAACTGTTTCATCTTTGTCGCGAAATACCACCGTCATCTTTATTTTCGATTTCTGAAGTAGGCCGGAACTCGCCACCCTGGTGGAAGAACTGAGGAATCCACCCTAGGTGGAAGAATGAGGAACCAAAATGTTCGCCACGGGAAGCAATGAAAATCTAGACGAAAAGGAGTACTTTAACGCCATACAAATATGCAGCACTAAGGACCTGGTAAGGAGCAAGAAGACATAAGAGGGGAGTGGGCAGGAAACTTATTGCAAGAACATTCTTGTCCCCGGGGAGAACGATCAATAATAGACTGCCTGCACCCCGAAAAGCTATTGAAATAAATAGGTCTTGGCATCGTGCTGAAGCAAGATGCAACAAATAATCTTTTACGAACTTTACCCAGCCAAAATCCAGCTCACAACCACTGAAAGACTTTAGCCATGTAATCTAGCCGGAAGGCAACAATAGTTTAACATGGGGATTGCTTGCCACTCATGTCCTGTAAGGCTTCTAACCACCCCCAGGCGCAAGGATCCGACGGTGCTCAACTTGACAGTATATGATTTCGCCTCGTGTTGCCACGGTGCGATTTGTCCGCGAGTGATTGTTGAGAATGGAGAAGAGGGTTTCTTTTGTAGACGCTGATCTAATACACACACTGCAAGCCCCCGGATAAGTAGTATCTCATAAGCGCCAATGGATCGTTCATTACGGATTTGATGCAGTCCGGTAATCGAATGTTTTAAGACGCTCGATGTCCCAATATTGGACGGGCCGTGCTTGACAGACATGAAGCAAAACTTCTTTGATTGTAGTTCTACGGACATTTTATCCGTTTCTGATGTAAAAAAGGCCGAAGCTTGCACGAAAGCACATCATCATGATACAGTTCATGATACAATTCATGATACAATTCTTATACAGTTGTTAAGAGAAGTGAGTTGACTGAAAGCATTAAATCTCTCATTCTGAGGTTTCAAAGGAGTACAAGAGAGGGAATTATTGATGTAAGACTACGAAGGTGTAGAACGGATGCCTAAATAATGAACCATTTCCGATATTTTATTTACAGCAGTTAGTGGTTGCCAGATAACAGAACAGTGTAGTCCAAACAATCAAAGTCCTTCACTAATTTGATTTCGACACCCAGAATGACGAGCTCTTAGCAGATGCCTGTTGGTGAAAATTGTCGCTGTGTTTCACACAAGCGCCTGATGTGAACATTTTTCGATTAGGTGTGAGTGGTTGCGGGATCTGAAGAATCCATGTTCGTAGCAGGTTCGAAATGCCGTGGTGCTGACTGGGAATGCCTTACGGGGGGTCAATCAACCAACGAAATCAGGTCAGTTATTGGGTTGCCGTTCGCGGCGTCAGGCAAACCAGTCACATCGCTCAAACGTGAACACAATCACCTATTCAGACGTGTCAACTTAGGTGCCTCCAGCGTGCGCTGCTGAAGAAGCGCCACACGTTTCACTGGCATATCAGTTCAGACCTCGTCACTGCCAAGAATGTGCACTACTGATAATCTAGGATCTGAGCGAATCTCGAATCCAGTTTGTTCCACTTTGGTGTGAACTCACCAGACTCATCGCGTCAGGACAGAAGGACAACTGTGATGTTAACGTGGATTCTACGAATCCCGCGACCCCTCAACCTAAATAGATAACTGAAGAAAGAGCTCGCCTACAGTGAAAAACTCATTTGACTGGCTGGAGGAGGGTTTCTCAAATCTTTGTCAAAACTGCCCTTTAGAACCTAGGACTTACCTCAGGTTCTGCATGGCTTAATTACCCCAGATGCTTTGACTAAGGATGTCGCGCTTTGAGCATAGTCTCTTAAGTGTGGCCCCCATGAAACCGTGTTTTTTTATTCGCTAAAGTGACAACGCGATTTGCTCGAAAACAGCTGTTTGGACCAACCGCTGACTGAAAAGTTCAAACTCCAGAAGAATAAAAAAACATAATGCGCGAGAGGATCAGTCAAAATTCTAGCCCTTTAGAGCATCACTTGAGACAGAATTTCGGGTGATTGAGCTAGCGATACAACCATGAGCACTCTAACAATCCCTAACTGCCATTCTTGTTAACTACGTGGAGTAATTATTTGTCTCCCTATTCCTCAGGCTAAGTCAGCACCCTTCCGGTGACTGCTCAAGTTTCAAGACTGAACTGTTCTATTTTATTCAAAGTCGACTCTGCCTCAACCGTTTTTCTATAGACGATTTGTTTACACTTATTTCTGGGGTTGTTACGAAAATTTGTCCCACTTTGAACTGAACAACAATTTCCGGCTTAATTTGTCCGATAGCACACTGCCCTTCGTGTG